AGGCAGTTTTCTCCAGTTTGATAAGAATATTACATGGAATATAATAAACTAAATCACTGAAAACCACTTAGATTATATATAGTGTCAGCCAATAAACATTTATTAGGCACTCACTATGTGCCAGGTATTCTCTGTCATTCTCATTATGGAAGAAACTCTAGGTTATCACCCTGTCTCTGCTGCTTGCTGTGGGCAATTGAACTTGCTCTTCTAGCCCTCAATTTCTTTATCTGTAAAATCAAAAGGCCAGATTGGATGATCCCTAAAGTCCCTTTAAGATTCCATGATGTTATAACTAAGTTATCTAGAAGATTCTTTCTACAACTAAAATCATATACTATAATTCTGTGACTAAATAATATCAAAGATCTCTTCTGACTTTAAAAAAATCTTCTCTTCATCATTCCTTATATCTTTGGGGCATTCAGTGATGCAAATTGCTACACTTTAGAATATTGGCAGATATTTAAATTAATGACTTTCCCATTCATCTCTGTCTTCAAAGATGGGAATTATTTTTTAAAAATCTTTTCCAGTTTTCAGTATGCTTCTGTCCATCACATGTCTTTTCAGTGCTCTTGGGTTTATTCGTAATTTAGATTCTTTCTAAATTATGGCATTACGCAATTTATAACAATGCTGGGAGAATACCATTGTTAAAGAGAAAAGTGTTGGGTTTTGTTTTTGGGGTTTTATTTTTTTAAACAGAAATGAGTAGTTTAGGGTTGTTGAAAACACTACATAATTTTCCAGGTATAACTTAATCTAATCTCTTCCTATTACTTCACTAGAGAATCCTTAACCCTAGTATCTGTGAAATCTTTAACCTAGGATCTATGAAATATATATTTTTTTAATTTTGATAACTGCATTTCAGTATATTTGGATTCCTTTATAACCCTATGTATTTTATTTTATGTATTTAAAAGTATTATTCTGCAAAGAGATCTATGTGCTTCATCAGACTGTCAAAGGGGTCAATGACCAAAAAGAAAGGGTTAAAAACACTTGGTAAACAGTTTTTGGTTGGTATTTATTTAATGACTTTCACCCAATGGCCCATGTTTGATTCACACTGAAATTTTGTACTTTTTTTTCCTCAGAAATAATCTGAACTCTTAAAAGGCTAGGCAAAATGTTTGCTAGTGATGTTAATTACTACTGAATTTAATTCTCCTATAGTGGGTTGGATTGGTTTTAGGGGGAAATTATTTAAAGCATTTGCTGCTGCAGCCAGCTCTTGTTTACTAGGCTAAGTATAAATATGGGCTAAGGCAAGAATCTTGACCTGATTACTGCATATTTACATTATCTAACCTCAACTGGGCACTTATGGAAATCCTTTTATTCATCTCTCATTGACCACCTATCACTCATTTCCTCCCCCAGTGGCTGTTCCAAAGTCACTCAGAGCTGTCCTTTCCTCAACTCCTCAAACTCTATTCCTCCGGCCTTCTGTATCAGCAGCTGACCTCCCAGATTGTCTGAGAAGATTGTGGTCACTGTACATCTCTCATCTCTCTTCTCTTCATCTCAAAACAACTGTCTTCTCCCACCCTTTCCTCCTCCCCCAGCCCTTCCCCATCAGAGATGATGTGACCCTCCACATTGCGAAGGATGGCTTCTCCATTTGGCCAAGATTTCATCTCCTCCTATGCCCTATGGGGCATTCAAAAACTCTATTCTTGTTACTACTTTTCAGCCCCTTCCCCTTTATTGGTTTCATTGGCTCCCCTTTGTTTTTTTTTTAACAAATGGTTAGTTTGGGGAGCATAATTCCTTGCACACAGCAAGTGCTTAATGAATGTTAAATTGAATGATTCAATAATAACAATATTTGATTCTGAATTTACTTCAGCTCCTAAATCTAATCCAGAAATCTTGTCACTAAATCAATACTGGGTATTTATGCTATTAGTGTTAACAATCATGAATTTCCAAATGGAAGCTAGAAGGAATCCTCAAGAGAGAATTTTTTATGGTTTATAAGAAAAGTGTATTTGGGTTTACTAACTATAGACAGAAGATAAATTAATCAGTTATGTGTTGGCAGGAAGTAAGTAGATTTCAAAGTTTTTACATATATCAAGAATGTTGAATTTGATTTTTCCTGTTTTGATACTATATGTGGGAAACCCATTCATTTGGTTTAAATGATTAGTAAGTATTATAACCTTTTCTCATTCAAGTCCATCATGAAGACAGCATAAACAAGTGAAAAACTTATTGGATTTGGTAACAGAGGACCTGGTCTCCAATCTAGCTGTCACTAACTACCTGTGTGATGTTGTGTCTAACTCTTCACGACCCCATTGGTCAGTTTTCTTGGCAAAGATACTGGTGTGATTTGCCATTTCCTTCTCCAGCTTATTTTACACCTGAGGAAGCTGAAGCAAACAGTAACTTGCCCAGAGTCACACAGCTAGTAAGTATCTGAAGCTGGATTTGAATTCAGGTCCTTCTGACTCTTCATCAGCACTCTATCCACTTCACTAACTAGTGGCCTCAACTATCTGTATACCCTTGGGCAAATCAACTGGTCTCTCTGGGTTTCAGTTTCCTTATTTGTAAAATGAGGGAGTTAAACTACATGACAGTTAAGATATATCTCAGATCTTAGCCAATGATCGTCCACGTATGAGAAAGATGCTAGCTGTGCTTTGATACTTTATGTCTAAATTGCAATTAAATCACTAACCAAATTTTATAATAGCTATTACCATTTTAAGTTCATGTGAGAATATTGACACATAAATTGTGCTATTCATGATTAAAAATCTGCATTTGGTGTAGTGGGGAAAAATGGATGTGGAATCAAAGGATTTGGGTTCCAATCCTCGCTCTGTTCTTTAATTCCTGGGTTATCTTGGCTACATCATTTAACTTCTCTGTGTAGCAGTTTCTTCATGTGTTAAAAATACATAAGTTGGAGTAGGTCATCTCTAGGCCTCTTCAAGTTCTAAATCTATCATTTTTTCAAATGTATACATTATTGTGAAATTTATATAGACATATACTGCAACAGAATGCATGGATGTCTGAGTCTTAGCAAGGATTTGAAACTGTTCCCTTATACATTTAAACCCCTATATAAGGGTTTCCAAAAAGGAGTACTTTTACTGATGTCTTAGATCAATTTATCAAATCTGATAGTTAATCCAAATGGCAAACACTTGTGTTGGCTTTCTGAATAACGTAAGATTCATTTTTGGCAGCAGATTAGAGAGCTTTTTCCTCCATTGGTTCAATAGTAAAATGGTATTACAAATGTGTAATAAATTATTGATGAGTTGTGAGATACACACACGTGTGTGTATATATATAAAATATATGTAAGGAGAAATGACCAGGAGACAGATTTTGAGGAAACAAAAGTAGAAGGAAGGGAGAAGAGCAAGGAGAAAGGAAAGAACTCAGGAGAGGATTCTTAAGAGTGGAAAGAAGCAGAAAATTAGTCAGAGGGATAGTGATCCCTAACTTCCTCTCCTATCCTTTCCCTCTGTCCCACAAAAAAATGGTGATCCCTATGTAGGTAAGTAGTTTTCTCCAAAGCAGATTTAGATTCCATGTGGTGATAATTTCTAAGTCCTGTTCCTCTGACATATTTTTCAGTGACTTTATCTCACTGACTTTGTACCAGTCTTATGGGGGCAATCCAGCTGTGTTCAGGAGGCAGAGATTTGCTGCTTTATTAGAACCATTATATTCCCATTTATCATAGTCCTGCTTATCTAGCAAACTCTAATGAGGCTTTAAAAAAAAAAACAAAACTGAAGAGTATTTCCATAAGGTTTGGAGAAACAAGTGTTCAAAATGCTTTCTGCTCTGGGGATCACATAATTTGGGATCATTTTGGAACTGGTGTCATTGCAAATGACCTGGTGCTTTAAACCCATGAATTCAACAGAATTTAGTTATAAGAATAACAAAGGAACTCATCTTGCAAGGAAGGACCTAGGAGAATCTGTCCTTAATCAAGGTATTTGATAAAGATCAAGGATTTAGTTCTCACTGGCGTCTGTAGACAGCTCTTTGCTTTTTACAATGATAATGGCATTTTGGCTTTTTGAAAGTAGTGTTGCTGGGTTCAGCACATCTTTGAGGTCTCGAGGAGACCCAGACGCTGCCGCTGTTTTCTTGAACAGACCTCGCTCACATAGAAGGTGCCCCAACCAGTGCAATTTAGCATGTTGATCTTTTCCTAAAAAGTTGTCCAATCCCATCCAAAGCACTGGCAGTCACTTCTTGCTCCCGGTTTTATGCCTGCAGAGTACGTCACCGTGCAATAGTAGACTATTCTTAAGAATAACCTTAATTTGGTTGGAGTGGAAAAGATTGGGGCGGGGGAGTGGGAACAAAACCAATTGTTTCAATTAAAGTGTGCCAAGGATACCCAAGCGTTGTGAGGATCTATCTGAGAGGGAAGGTGGAAGGAGCTTAGCAGTCACTGCTGGGAAGCTGAAGGCTGGGAATAGGGCAGTTTGGATTTTCCAAACACAGGTGGGGGGGAAGAGTGAAGAAGAGTGATGAAGGGGGTCCCAAAAAAACAAGTTTGAATCGGGCTTCATCTTTGCCATTTCCTCTTTACAACTTTGGTCAGCACAAGGTTCCTAGTAAGTTGTAGTTAGGGGGAGGCTGTATGAAATCTCCTGCTCGGGGTGTGACCGGACTGGACCGGACGGGATGAGATGGATATGGAGGGCGGGGGAAGGAAAGACCTGTGTGCTGGCTCCTTGGGCTGGTTGAGTGTTGGGAACGCAGCCACCGAGTGCCCAACCCTCCTCCCTCTCCCCTTTTCTCCGGTCCTCTAGTCTGCTTTCCTCTCCCGGACCTCAGCGAGCAGCAGAAAGGCCGGGAAGTGGGTGCGTCGCTGCAGGTCCCAAGAGGAAAAAAGGGGTGGGTGGGGGGTGTCCTGGAGGCGGATAAAAGGGGGTGGGGGACCCCTTGACGTCACGGGAAGGAGGTGCCCAAGGGAGGAGGGAGATCGGATAGGGGAAAGGTTATAAATCGCCCCCGCCCGCTGCTCGGCTCCGAATTGATGTCCGCAGGAGGCTAAAAGGAGCGCACCCCGTGGACACTCCCTCTTTTCCTCCTTGGCCGCGGCGGAGGCGGCAGCAGCAGCAGCAGCAGCAACAGCAAAGACTGCCGCGGCTGCAGCGGCAGAGGAGAGCAGCACGCGTCCGGGAGACGCCGCAGCGGGCTCCCGGGACACTCACCAGCCGACTGGAGGCAGGCGCGGGTTTGAGGATTAAGAAGTGGATGGTTACGCTTTTCTCCGAGCCGAGCAGCCACGCTGCCTAGCGCGACAGAGAAACTTTGGGGACCAGGAACCGAAGGCGCTGGCGGAGTTGAGCCGCAGCGCAAGGGGGCCCATCCGGCTTTATTTATTGGCGTCTCTGGGAAAAGAAGGGACAGACATCTATCTGCCTCGCAGCGTCCCTTACCATGTTCAGCTGGGTGGTCACCGGGGCCGCGTTCTCCGTCCTATTGGGCTGTCTGCTTCTCACAGGTAAGAGTTCCCGGCCTGCCGCCGTCTGGCGTGCCAAGGGCAGTAAAGGAACTGAAATGAGGAAGAATAATGGGTTCCAACCCCATTTCCAAGAGAAGAGGTTGCTGGGATATATTGGGGTGGCAGGTGTGGAAATCTGAGAGACCGCGAGTAGAGAGCAGGCAGGCAGGTAGACTGGGCAGTGACGCAGGGGACGCCTTCTCCGTCTCAAAACTACTGAACTTGCTCCTTGGTCTTCTCTCCTAGTTATCTGTCGAGCTGGGAGTTGGTGCAAGTCATGAATCAAGGGTAATTGGCTCTGGGGACCTCCCGCTCTCAAGAGCTGAGTACTCAATCTCAGTGGCCCGTCTCCCACCACTCCAAACCCCGGTATCCCTGCTCCGCCTCTCTCTATTCTCCACTTGGCTTTTTTCTCAGCCCCGAGGGGAGCGCTGCAGCGTGGAGTCCAAAACAGGCATAGAGCGAGCACGTAGTACTGGGTTACGGGTTATCTCTGGATCCAGTCGAGCTAATCCAGAAATTCTCTCTGAGATAAATTAGGCTGGGTTGAAGTTGGGACCACGTATGGATCTGGACCAGCAGAGGGAAGGAAGAGTAGTTTAGTTTGCCAGACTCGTATTACCTGAGGAGACCCAAATAATTTTCCAGAATATCCAAACTTTCCGAAGACCTCAGACTTAAAATTGGATCAAAGAAGGCAAAAGATCTTCGTGGTATCTGTTAACAGAGCTGACTGGCCCCGGGAACTTTTACCGAAACTATTAGTCATGTCATCAATGAGCAGCAGCTGAGTTTCTCTTTGCAAACAGACCCCAGCGCTTGGAGACTTCAACCCGTTATCTTGGCTCAGACGGACTGGCCAGTTCTTTCCCAACTGCTGTTAAAGAGAGCGATTCAATTCTCATCCTAGTCAGAAACGAAAAGTCCCTTGCAAACGTGGTTACTCTTCAGTATTACAGGCCCAGCCTCTTAGATTTTTCACTGAACTAGGAGACATATGCTTGCTTTAATATTTCAGAGATCCCATACCAGTGCAACCCAGCAATACCTTAGCAAACTGTATTTGCCAAAGGGAAAAATGAAATTATCTCTTGGTAGCCGAGCGATTGATGATGACATTCTCCAAATTTAAGTAGGCTGGTCCTTGGCGGACAGTCTGTCCCCAACTATACTCAGTCTTCTTCAGCTTGGATGAATTTATATTCCAGCACTTATATTCTGCCGGCATAGACTTCAAGAATCCCAGGGTCACCTCTCATTGTGTCTTTTTAGGCAAGAGGAATAGAAGTAGGATTTTAGTGGCGGAAGGAATGAATAGGATTCAGTAAATGGGCAGACACCTTCTTAGAAATTAGATGGACAAGATGGAAATCAAATGCATCTCCAAAGTCAGTACTTCTAAGGAATTAAAGAAGTCAGGTGGCCAGACAACTTGGTCAAGAATGTAAATGACAGTTAATGCAATGAATGAAAAGTTCCAAGCTCTCAAGAAAGGTTAAAACAGGTTTGGGGTCTTTGTGCTTTATTTTTCTCTTTCCATCATCTAAATGATGAAGGGATTCTCTGGCTTCTTGGGGAAGGTAAGGGGCTCACCTCTAAGAGAGTCCTTTGCTTGGCAAGAAGAAATGGTAAAAATCAACATGAAACTTCATAGGGAGAGATGTCAATACAGCAAAAGAGAGGCAGGGGAAATGCTCATTCACCTTAGACCCAGCTAGAAGGCAGTAACAGTTGAATATTCTCAGTGGGAAGACCAATTAGACTGTCAGATCTGAGTAACAAACAATAATTCCAATTAGACTGGTTAAACTATTAAACTTGGAGCCAGGAATGGTTTGTAGGGTCTAAAAGTGCCGTAAGGTTGGAGACATTCCCAAAATAACTGTAGTAAATTGAACATTCTGTTTTCACTCCTAGCAACATTTTTTTTTCTTTTCAAAAAGTTGTCTGTTACATGGACATCATTTGCACTCATTAATTAATCACTTAGAAGGAGTTGATCTTTATGATTTGTATAGATGCTGGGAAGCATCCCCTTTTAAATTTCACTAGTTTGACTTTAGGTAGCCACAAATATTGCTTCGTTTTCATGTCTTTAAAAAATAAGATTCAGTGAGAAGTATTTGGAACAAAAGGTTGTGGTGGTGAGGGGCTATGTTATTTCTTACTTTTAGAAACTTTTGCCATCTAACCTCTGGTCATCATACCTGGTACAGCATGCTCCAAAGTTTCTCTAGTTGGCTTTGCATCTTATGGTATAAATATCAGCCTTGATTTCTCATTATCTTCTTCTAATACACTGGAAAACAACAAAAATTAGAAAAGAATAGAATACCTCTAATAAAAGAATAGAAAATCTCTAAAATCCTAGTATATTGCAACCTTGTACACAAACAAGTCTTTTTTGATGTTTTTTTCTTTTAAAAAATTAGAACTTTTCTGTCTGTCTGTCTGTCTTTCTTTTTTTCTTTCTATAAGCTAAATGTTTATTTCCTAACCTTTCAGATACTACACCTGGTAACTAAATATGGAAATATTTTATTTTTATCTTAAAGTTAACCTTTTATCATTTTTAAGAAGAAAGGTCCTTGAGATGTTTATAGATTTAAGACTATGTATTTAGTTGATACTGAATGTCAGATACTACTAGCATTGAGAACTAGGTGAAATCAATGTGGGAAACTATAATGAATGTTCAAGTAAATTAAATGCTGGATTAAAATGAACCATGATTTCCCAAATTGGAAGAGTTGGAATAATTTTTGCTTAAATAAATTTTAAGGTAGGAGTAATTTTTGCTCTGTTTTGTATGTTTGCTGTCATTTACTGTCCCTTATACTCACGGCAGCAAAAAGGAGATTCCTAAAATTTGAGTTGAACTCCAAAAACTGCGCTCAACAGTTCAGTATCTTGTAACTTACATTCTTTACAGGTGTTTCATAAAGGCATCTCTCTCCTAGAAGTTTATTTATGCTTTAACTAATGCATTTCACAATGTCATTAATCCATCCCCAAAAAAGAAAGCCCTGGGAAATGTATTTAAATGCCCTGTTCTTATTAATTGCTCATTTGAGATCTATATTTTAAGACTTGTGTCTGATACCATTAATCTATAAGTCATGCTTATCCTGCCTTGCTGTACAGAATGTGGGCAGATCTTACTCTGTGCTTCACTTTTGTGATGATTCCAAATAATTGCCATGCAAAAGTGACTGCAACTTTTATTGTTATAAAGTCTAATATTAATAATAGCAGTCAAATTTCTCCTCTAGCATGTAGAAAAGTAGCATTTTCCTAAGTATAGACTCATTCGGTGTCTGTCTGCCTTTCTCTTTCTGTATGTGCTTCAACTTGGGGGAGGAGAAGGGAGTGTAATATCATGATAGTTCACATATTTGATCTGGAAATAACTTTCTAGTTAGAGTTTCTTCAGAGTGGGGTGGGGGACTGAGCCTCTAATGCCAAGTTTAGCCTACATTGTATGGCTTATCTTATTTTTAAAAAGAAAGTACTTTGTTCTACCTTACAGTAGTAAGGAAACTGTCAAGACATGACTTCATTTATTTTGGGGACACTATTATGAGTGTTGAAAACGACATGTTGGAAAAATGCTTTTTAAATGAACTAAGAAAAGGCTAAATCAATGTCATCAAGGAAAAGCATTCTAAAGCACTGTTACCTAAAAACCGATTTTTTTTATCCATTTTTATTGTTTACTTTGGTTTGGACATTTTATATTTGAAAAAGTAAAATTTTAATCCTAAGGGTTAATATAGCATATGGCAAAGTAAATTGTTCACATTGATATGCTTTGTACGTATATGGAATGAGGATAGAGATGGATAGAAAATGACTCTTGGTCATGGAATTCAAAATGTAATTCAATAATATTAATGAAAAATACCCATGTTGTTTGAATATTTCTTAAAATTGTGGTTTTTCAGTGCATTTGTCATTAGAAGATCAACTAAGATTCAATCGGATTTTTAATTTCAATTTAGAAAAAATATTCATGACTACTGGATATTTTTTGATACTCTGAGTGTGGTTTAGATGCTTCAAAGGACAGAATAATCTGTTCAGTGGTTATAATGTTTTGGGGAAGGCTGTGTGGGAAGGACAATATATCATGCCTGCTGCTTTCCAGAACAATTGTTCACTCCTCACACTCTTGGGTGGCTTGGAAACTGCAAGCTGCTGATGATTAAATTACTGGATTTTATGCCAGGCTGAGAGAGTGAAAGGAAATAAGAGGGATGGGGTAATTGAGGAAGGACTTGAAAGGAAGGGCTCTGGCTCAGCTTGTGGGACTGCAGTGGGGTTTCATTAAGGAAATGGTTCCATTGAGTCTGCTAGAGATAGTGGGTTAGATTTCCTGCATCACAACTGGGAGCAGGAAGAGGGGATACAGCAAGACTGCCTGGGGCTTTCCCACTGGGTTTAGGAAACCTGACAACCTAAAGGCCATTTCTTCTCACAGAGCCATCTCCTCTGTTGCCACAGTGGATGCTAAAGTTCCCCCATAGATCTGGGCATTTTTCTTCCAGGAAAAGTAAGACTTTATGAAGTAGTAAGAATTCCTAACTTGTAGTTACTTAACACATATAGAAAAGTATGGTCGGGGATAAACATTTTTAGGGTGAAACATTTTTAGGGCATTTATAGTGGAAAGAACACCGGATTCGGAGATACGAGACCTGGATTCAAATTCCAGCTTTGTTATTTTAATCTCTCTGTGCCTCAGTTCCCTGACGTGTAAAATGAGAAAGGACAGAAGAGGTTTGAATTAGGGTCCCTTCCAGCTCTAAAAATATAATCCTTTTGAATAGCTTTGGTTGTCATAAGAATGCTATGATTGTCACAGAAGAAAGTACTGTCCCTAGTTTCCAAGGGCCAAAAATAAGATGAGCCCTCCATTAAGCTCACTTTTTGATTCCTCCATTGCTGTTGGGACCTTTAGAACACGTAGTTTCAATGAAGGAATTTTTTGCCAACCAGAG